GAATTTGATATCGCTCATCATGTTGATATTATCGAGCTCGTCTTCTTCACTTGGAACCGTTTCGGAGTCGCTATGTTCAGTTTCGGGCTCACTTTTTTCACCTGTGCCCGCTTTGGAGTCGCCGGCTTGCTTTTCACTTTTTATAATTGATCTTAACAATTTTCTGAGGTTGTCAAATGTGTCTGTTTCGTCAAATTCCGCGTTTCTTTTCTTCAATTCCGCGGTAATTTCGGTTTTATTGAGGTTCTGAATCCAGCCCGTTTTGCCTTTACTACCCGACATTCGCGTAATTTTTCTCTTGTGAGTCGCACCTTCCTACGATTTCACATATGCACATGCAACTAAACACTGACGTACTCAGCACCACAACCAGTAGTTAACTCACTCACTCAGTAGTAGGTTCACTAGCTTTTTAACTTTACTTTAATCCTCGTCGCCAGTTGTTATGTTTTAGGTTCGAGTAAATAAATAAGTCCAGTTTTATTAATTAATAATAGTAGTTTATTTAAATGGAATGTGGTGTATTGCCGAGGCAAGCTCCAGTGAGCGACTGACTGTACAGAGCACACAGTCGTACAGTGCAGATAACATCGTGCGGAGCTCATGTCCCCATGAGACCTGGTAACAGGAAAATAAATGTAAACGTAGGTGATAAGGTTTTCATAGATGCACACGGTGTTAAATCGGAAAAACGAGTGCCAGGCGAAGTTATTAAACAAACTGCGCCTTCTACATTTATTGTTCAGCCTGAGTCAGGACCGCCTCAAAAGCGGCATATCGATCAAATGGTACGAAGATCGCCAAGACTTCAAAATAAATCGGCGAGAAGTTGTAATGTATCGCGCAGCGATTATATAAGTGCCGCATAGCGACAATAGGGGACATGAGCTCCGCACGATGTTATCTGCACTGTACGACTGTGTGCTCTGTACAGTCAGTCGCTCACTGGAGCTTGCCTCGGCAATACACCACATTCCATTTAAATAAACTACTATTATTAATTAATAAACCTGGACTTATTTATTTACTCGAACCTAAAACATAACAGGCTTAAAGTTCAATTTTTATTCGAGAAAAACGAAAAAATACGAAAAAACGGAGTTTGACGTTCTGGTTGCAGTAGAAAATATCATTTGCCAACGTCTAGTGAACGGCTGTTGTTTTGTTTGTGTAAAAGATGAACTTTGAACACTATTCCAAAGTGATCTAAAATTTTTCGCCAACTTCGCTCCACCCTAATAGGTACACGCTAATACACTAACACACACATTTACATATTAGGCATTGTCCCGATATGAGTTGACCGCGAGGTGGCGCACTTGTGTTATCCGACTTGTTACTATTATTATTATTATTTCCACACAGTGTAACGTCCGTAAAGCAGACGACGAACTTCTTTTCGCTATATAAATTTTCGCGAAAAACGTACCGTGCGCATGACGTCGCATAACACAAGTGCGCCACCTCGCGGTTAACTCATATCGGGACAATGCCTAATACACGCAAGACCCACAGTTAAGTAGAACGGTGAGGTTGGCCAATTAGCCTCGTAGCAGAAAGACCGTAATCAACTAAAAAAAAAAAAATGTTTGAACACTTTTTGCATACAATGCAACAATCAAATGTTCATTTTATTCAAAAATAAAGTACGAGTAAAAATAAAAAGAATTTTATCCTTATTATGTATATATCCCTTACCCGCTTTAATTTTTCATGAACTGTCCTAAGTTTTTATTCATATACTCATTTTTTAATAGCTAAGAAAAGTTTAAATTAATTCGATTTCGAACATAATGATTTGGAACGATCATCGTTTATCCGTTAAACAATTCTTAGTTGATTGTAGATCAGTTAGTCCTTTGCTAGAGTGCATATCGGTTGTTGTACATTGTATTGTTAAAATGAGTGCGCATCCTTCGCTTAAGGGCCCTCTATACACACTCAGTCGATAACAAGTACGTAATTATTTTGTACCCATTTTTCTTATTCTCTGGTCAACCATTGAACTTGAAACTTCGTGGGAGTGATTATGAAACTTATAAAAATGTGCCTCTGGGGCCAGTTTTCAATAAAATGTTTAATAAAATCATTTTAACTAATTGTTTGAGAATACGTTACTTTTGAGGTTATAAAAGGGGGATAATAGAAAATCAAGTTTGTTTGAAAGTACCGGTCATTTAATTGAAAACTGCCTCCAGAGGCACATTTTTATAAGTTTCATAATCACTCCCACAAAGTTTTAAGTTCAATGGTTGACCAGAGAATAAAAAAAATGGGTACAAAATAATTACGTACTTGTTATCGACTGAGTGTGTATAGAGGGCCCTTAACGATAAATTGAAAAATTTTTCATTTTTTTATTCATTTGAACAGTTAATAGCTACAAATGAATTAGCAATTAAGTTTTTGGAAGAAGTTGGATTAATTCCGTCTCGCGTTTCTACGCCTCCTACATGTTGTGGTTTTCCGATGCGCGTTGAAGAATCCGCAGAAGAAAAATTGCTGTGGATTTGGCGTTGCACACGTCCTAAGAAGAAGGGAACCAAACCATGCCGCAAAATTGTTAATCCAGCTTCGGGAACATTTTTTGAAGGTACGGCTTGCCGGATAGAAATACGCGATGTACTGACTATTATAATATGTTTTGTTATCCAAATACCTGTGACCACTACGCATAAACATCTATTAAATTGGCGCAAGTTTCGTAATGGTCATGAACTCAGCTGCAATACTGTAGTTGATTATTATAGTTATTGTAGAGAGATTGCCGAAGTAGCAGCTTCGCATAGCGACTTTATATTAGGTGGTCGTGATAAAAGCGTTCAAGTAGACGAAACTTTTTTAACAAAAAGGAAAAACGATCGAGGTCGTATAACAGAGCAGATGACTATCACAGTTCTCGGATTGTACTGCAAGGAAGACAAGGTTTGGCTCATTAAATAAATAAATAAATAAATAAATAAATAAATAAATAAATAAATAAATAAATAAATAAATAAATAAATAAACAATTAATTAATTTAATCAATTATTTTCTTACAGATTGGGCTATTTTTTAAAGTAAATATCAAAACTAAGAAGGAACTGTGGCCGTACATCAAAAAATATATTCATCACGACACCTCAAGGATATGTACAGATAGCGCGAAGCGGTACGAAGGAGTAGAAAAAATGTTTTATTCCGATACGGTGCACCTGCGGACAAAATATAGTATTGGCGAATATGTTGATAACCCCAATGAAAATATTTTATGAGTTCTTAGACAAGATTTTAAAAAGATCTTGATAAAATTTTAAGACATCTGGTAGCAAGTTCTTATAAAGATCTTGATAAAACTGGAAGACTTCAGGTAGCAATAATTCTTAGGAGAGTTTTTGATTTCATTACTAGACTTGAAATAACAAGTTCTTATATAATTTGAATTTCATGATTGTGATGAAGTTTTACTATTTAATCAAGATCTTATACAAGAACTTGCTACCAGATGTCTTAGAATTTTATCAAGATCTTATTCAAGAACTTACAAGGTCGATTATCATACGTAAGTTCTTGCATAAGATCTTATACAAGATCATTTTAAAATCTTGCCTAAGAACTTATAAAATATTTTCATTGGGGAAGACGAATCCGCAAAATACCATCAACGATCTAGAGAATCAAAATAAATTATTAAAAAAATCGATAGTGTGCCGAAGATCGTCTAAATTGCTGCATCAGTACATGGCCTTATATTTTTATCGGAAAGCTTACTTGAACCAATATCAAAATGATTTAGGATCTCAAATAATGAAATTTCTCGACGACATAAAGTTAGTATATCCGGACATAGTTGACGGAGAAGTGAAGGAAGGCCGGACGATTAAGGAAATTGATCCCCCTACATTTTCGCCGTCGGTAGAAAAAGAGTTCCTTCCTCCGCCAAAAAAGCCACGACTGGAAGATTCTGATGTTGAAGATATTTTGAAGGAAATCGAAAAAGCTAATGATTCAGATCCGGACTTAGATGTAAATGATTTTTAAAAATTTAATTTCTTTTTCCAATAAATTTGTATTTTTTTCTGTCTTTGTGTGTATTTTTTTTCTATGGGGGGACTTTGCCCCCCCCCCAACCCCCCAGCAGGGGCTTCGCCCCTGCACCCGCTCTCCGCCTCCCGTACATTACTTATCTAATTCCTTCCATTCTCACACCAAAGCGAAACATGTCATACGTAATTTTTACTTGTAATTAACACATAGTATAAATTTGGGGTGAATCCAAAATACAGAGGGTGGTACATGTAATCAGGTGAAGTATTTAACTATTTTATAATCTTTTTTTTTTAGTTGATTACGGCCCTTTCTGCTACTAGGCTAATTGGCCAACCTCACCGTTCTACCTAACGGTGGGTCTTGCGTGTATATATAAGTGTGTGTGTTAGTGTATTAGCGTGTACCTATAGTCGATATGGTTGCGCCTCCCATACCACTGAGGTTACGCTTTGATAATGGTGTGACTATTTTATTATTTATAATCTATTTTCATTCAGTTTTAGCGTCCTCTGTTGGAATATTTCATAAAATCGCGGGACCACGGATACCGTTATATTATATATATCTCCCCCTGCATTGAATTTACCGAGGGCGCTGATTATCGTTTAATCTCCAATTGCCTGTCAGATGTAATTTGTAAATACTGGGTGCTGTTAGTTGCCCATTTGTAAGTTATATTTGATATTTAGTAATCAATTATACACGTTGTTACCCTCAAGTTAACAGCTTTTTATACTTCAGTACTATTGTTCCTGTGATACAGCGAACCCGTATGTTAGCGCCACCTATAACCTAAGTTAGAATTAAAGTATATGTACGCTGATCAAGCAGATACAGCTGACAGCTCAGCTCTCGACGAGCTAACACCTACACTTGTGCGTCGGATCTAATAAAGTATTTATACACATAAGTTGTATTCCCTTGTTGATCCTTATTTATTTCCAAGTTATTACAGTTCCAAAAGATAAAAATGCCTAAAGTAGTATCTCGAAGTATTGTCTGTTCTGATACCAAAGACCAAGAAGAATACAGCGATGAGAAACCCCTTCATACCTATTATTGTTTATGTGGTCAAATGACACTCATATTAGGTAACTAGTTTATAAATACGCACCTTTAATAGTATCGAAAACAATATAAACAATATGAACCTATTATTGTTATCTGAACAGTTGAATCAATGTTGTAACATTTTTATTAAACTTTTATGAAACTATATACTTTTCAATGTTTTAGATTGTACTTTAGAAAAATTACCACTTCGCAAGCGAGATGGTTCTCGAGTAATTGATTGTAGTAAACATGCCCACAAAATAACAAGCGAAGTTGATGAAATAATTTATCTCAAGCGTTCAGAAGGTATTGAGAAACAGCATCGACAAAAATGCAAAAAGTTAGCGTTTTTTATTTATCCAAACATTATGTTTTAGAAAAAAACACTCATTTAATTTTATTTTTTCTTAGATGTGGACTTTTGTTGTACTACAAGCATGATAATACATCAGGTTTAATTTTCGTTGTGAAAGGCGCAGTCGTACAAAGTTCGGGTGATGAGCCTGTATCAAACATTTATAGTCAAGTACAAATTGAAAAACCAAAAAAAGTCATGGTTACTAAACATACAAAAAATATGGGTAAATTCAGTTCAGTTACTGTATCTACAATTGATGAAGAAGAAGATGAAATAGAAGCTGTAAGTGGGATTTATATATTTTAGTGCAATGATATTGTGATGGTGAGAAAAAACTAATATAAATTTTTACAATTATAGAGGGAAATAGCTGATTCTTATGCAAACAATGCAAGAATAATTGAAAAACAGTTGGAAAGGAAAGGTATTGGAAAAAGAAAAATAATAGTTCCACCAACAGCAGAAGTGAAGAAAGCAAGGGGCACTTTGTTAGATGTTTAGAAGGACAAAAAAACATAAGAAAGCTTAATTTATCTTTTGTACAGGATTTTCTAAAAATGTAATCATGTCTTTATTATAAATATATAAATAACATTTATTTAGTGAAATGTTTGCAATCATCATTGTATAATTCTTATTGTACAAATTTTTTTATTTTACTATAAAAGTCACATTTTGTGTACATTATAATAAATAATGGATCTACTTATTTTCTAAATTTATTAAAAATTTGCTAAAATAGTTTTGTTCTGTTTGAATTTCCAAGAATGAAATTATAATGATTAGAGCTGCACTTCTCAACTTTCAGTGAAAAATACTTAACATTATTTTATATTATTTTATATTAACATTATTTTTAAAATATGACAAAATTTATTTAATCATAAACTTGAGCAGAAAGTATAGACTATAAATAATGAGTTATTGCTCAATAATTTAAGCTTAATTTGTGTACATTAATTGAGCACTTCATCAGTTTATGTGAAGCACATTCTCATCATGAGTTTGCAGTAAGTAATTGGAACCATGTAATTAGGTTAAAAATAAATTACATCCTTACTATCTTGAAACTCTATATCAATTCAGGTGATTAAGTTAAAATAACCATGAAAAAATTTCACGATGAAAATCATACTTTTTGGCACTATGTAAAAAATACAAATGTAATTTGTCAAATCACTAGTCTTACTAAAAGTCTTGCATTCAGAAAATATTCAGTTAAAATACTGAAAAATTTTAAAATTGAAAACTTGTTTTTTTTATCACAGTGCTTATAATAGTTGCTATTTGTAAAACTATATATACTTTTTTGACATAAGTGTATGTCAAAAAAAGTTTTAAAATTGATTTTTCTATTGTAAAAGTAACATGTACTTATATCAATTAAGTTCATAGTAATTGATGACAAAGTATAAATCTCTCAGTGCATGAATTTTTCAATATGTAATTATTTTAATTAATTTATGTAATGTTCCCCCAAGATTTGGAGAATATACCATAATTTTAATTTAAAGGCACTTGGGATAATGTCTGAAATAAGAAATTGTACTTGGCAATAACATACATATTTAAATTACAGTGATAAGTTTCTAGGCCAACTTTTTTTATAAATTTACATAATTTACTTCTTAATGATATTTACGTAGTTATTTTACATAAAAAGACATTATAAAATATGAATTCACACTTACTCATTTAAAAAACACAACAAGACATTATATTTACACCGTTAGTAAGCAAGAAAATTGCCAACTATCAAAAATCAGTTCTATAGTATTTCTAAAAAAAGAAAATACTGTGCTCATCACTTTAATCACTTTGGTTGTTTTTTATTTTTTTTTAGAGACATATTTTTCATACTAAAATTACGACTATTAATAATGTCATCGATACTCTTTTTGAGTGCTTCCATTTCAATTATTTCAAACGGCATTGTTTGAGTTGCCATTTCTCGTGCTTTAAAAGAAGATTGATCTACTAGTCGTCGTTGATTTTTCAAGTCAGAGTAAGATCTACTCAAGTCAATATCCCCGTTGTTTGATTCGATCTCCTCATCATTGTTCACATCATTTGTTTCTGCATTGTTATGCAGAAGATGCTTAAGAACTGTTTCATCTTCGATAGTGTACTTAGTTTGGGATTCCGCCGAGGTTCGTCTATTACTCCTACAACCGCGATTACTAATTTTACTCCAGCTACGTTCGCACATCTCAGGTTTCATCATTTTTCTATGTTCTTCTGATTGGCTATCTTCTTCGTCTTCACTGTCTGGTTGATTATCACATGTTTGCTGTTGCGCGATTTCACTAATAGCTTCAACATTGTCGATACATCCATTTTCAGTGACTTCACAAGCAAGCTGGTTATTTGCACCTTGACTATTGAGATTATCTTCGCTGTCGCTATGGCGTGGCAGTAAAAATGGAAGCAATCGCTCGACATCTTTTATAGCCAGTTGACCTTCATTTAAACCAACTCGACGCTTTAAATTCGGTAGCGGAACGGTAGTTGTAGTTGTTGTACCTATTGACAATGCCTGCAAAATTTGTATTCCCAATTGACTTTCTTGAGAGGTTGTACTGCCTCGTCTGAACGATGGCATTATTGAAGTTTTCCCGGTACGAGTTTTGTCTAGCTCTCGTTTATTTCTCTTATAAATTTCTGATCGCTTCCTTCCACGTTCGTGGTTTTTTTTACGGCGTTTACCATTTCTATTTTTGTTAACTCTGCTAGTTTTTAGTTCGGCCTTCACTTCGCTGATGGATAATGCAAACTGAGAATCACATGAGTTTCTTCGGGATTCTATTGATACACGACGTAAACTAAAGCTGTACTGTGAGTCAGTAGAGTTTCTTCGGTTGCTCGACACTGAGGCACCGACTAAAGCTCCTCGACGATGTACTAATTTTGGTAAGGCGGCAGCCCAAGTTGAACTAAAATCTTGTGAAGCTGCGGAATTAAAATCAAAATTCAGACCAACAGGATCTTCATGACTGTTATGGAAGCTTATAGATAAACGTCCAGCATTGTTGAACATTTTACGTTTAGCAAATGCTTGGGCTATCACTTTATGCTTCTGCAACCTTATCGGTTCCTTGCTCTTGTCCTTAAAAATTCTGCGAGATGAAGAAATTCATATACTTCTTTTATTTATGTTTGGTAACTTGAAAAATAAATTTACTCACCTTATAAAAAATCGCCCCCAAGTATCAACTGTTGATCTGGTCCAAACCCAAGAAGACATCAATACACCAGCAAAAAATGGAGCAAACAAATGCAACTGTAACTTTGCAATGCTTGGTTTAGCTTTCATTTTACACTCAGCTATATCAATATATTTAGTTGTTATAGAACACCTATAAAATTAAAGGTTTAATGGTATCTATTATTTTTTTTTTTTTTTAATTAAATTGATTGCATTAAAAATAATTACATCATGTATTCTCTAAAGCTCTGCTTCCATTCCAAAGTATGGTCAAAATCATAGAAATGACAATAAACTGTTATTACTACAGCAAGTATTTTAAAAACAGCAACTAATCCAACTCGTACTATTGTTTGTCTTATTTTGGAACTGTATTTTTCTGATAAAACCTCTTGACTTTTAATTTTAATACAAATAAGAGTTATTAAACCTAAAATGACATAACAATTTTATACAGCTTTGAGTATTTTAAAATAAAATGATTTTTATTACCTCTGAATAAAAAGTAAGTCCCAATTAGTAAAGCAATTATCACAGGAACAAGAACAAACCAAGTTCTAACTGCATGATTATTGTAACCAACAAAACATATCCCAGTTACATAATTTCCATCAATTTCACCTAGAGCCATGACTGTTACTGTCAGCATCAATGGCAAACACCAAGCAAGTAGATGAAAGTATGCTCCTTTTTTGTGTATTCTATCCTCAATTTTTCCTATTGCTTGAAAACGCATATACCATGTATATGATAGAATTACAAACCAAACCATGGCAGCCATTGAAAAATAATAAACCATCACGAACACAATAACGCATAGTTCCAATCCACTGCAAAGTTATAGTATGCATTAAGTCAATATTAACAACCGAAATGATAAATTTTAAAATAGATACCTTGGTTCACCCATTCTCAGAGTGTTATCTTTTTTACAAACAATGTTTTCTCTAACTCCAGGTAGAAATTGTAACAGCCAACCAATACAAAAAATAAAAAAACAACAATTTATCCAAAATACTACTAAAGCTGGGTATTTATTAGAACTTCGCCAATTAAGAAAGAAAGTAATCTGCAATTCATGAATTGAATTAATATAATAATTAATTCTAAAAATAAATTAAAATAATAAAAGTAGCTTACTATTGTAAATAGATTCAATCCTCCACAAATGCTTGCTGCAAGTGATACAAAAAATTTAATTTGTTTTTGTTCATCTTTGTCATACAAAGGGTCACTACAAGGCATTCCGCAACCTTCAACCCCTTCAAAAACAGCATCAATATTATCTGTAGGCACTAATGGACTAAGGCAACTAGATGTTGTATTAAACTTCACTCCATGAAAATCATTCTTACACATGCGAGGAAACAATTTAGTATCATCACATCTAACAAAGTCTGGCCATATTGTATGATTGAAAAGTATTCTGCAAGGTCCTGACACTATTTTACACATTTCATATGATGGTAAATCCACTGTATCATTTACGCACTTTGGCATAAACAGGGAACACAAGAACGGTTGAACAACGGTCCAACACTTTGGAATATGTTTCAAAGCTTGAAGAACAAACAACTTTTCCTAGGAATCATATGTATAGTTTATAAGTATATGTATTTGATTTAATATGATAATAAAAAATAATTGTCCATTACTTTTATAATATCGTAAGTTGTGAATTCAGGAATAAGGTCCAAAGTGGTGGTATCATAAGGTAATCCTGTGCCCATACAAGTAGCATTGTTTATACGAACACATTTTGCAGGTTTTTTACAGTGAACGTGATTTGATGGTAAATCTCCAACAGGATATCGATCAAGGCGCGGACCCAATTCAGTCCAAGAATTAGCTTCACCATTGTTACTGGTTGGATCAATGTGATCCAGCTCCAATTTTACTGGACTCGTAAGAGTGAATAGAAAAATTATAAAAAAAAGCCACATCTGAAAATTAAAATGTTTGTGTGTTAGAATCTTGATTTTTAATATAGTGCATTAAAGAAACCTTTAAATTCTAAAAAAATGTAAGATAAATTTAATTAGAATAGAAGCAAATGCATAAAAAGAAATAAGCTGCACCAAAGGCAAAACAATACTTTTACTATGAACTTTGTTTACATTGATTGATAAAATAAGATGTTGAATAAATTAAAATAAGCAGTAATAAACCCACTGTCATGAGATGATCATTGAAAATGCAAACGAAGAGTTCAGTGATCCAGCATAAACGTTTAAACTACTAGAAGGTTTTTTGAGTTTTCAGTATCTACAAAGTTGGAGCCAAGGACCACCATACACGCAGCATCGATGATGAAAAGTACCGGCCACCCACGAGCCTGTAAACGCCATGTTTCTTTCTTCTCCTACTTCTTTTCTCTTTCCTTTCTCTCTCCCTCAGGCAAATTGAAGGCTGCAGTTTAGGCGCGTGCTGCCTTTAAGTTGCCTTTAGCCACTGTAGTCTGTAGCAGCGAATGCGACCCTACAGTCCACGTCGTGATCGTGGTGTACATACATTATAAACTAAGCGAACTTTTAAGCGATTGGTGCGTCATGTTAGGCAAAACGTGTAACAAGCTAAGTGAAAGCCAAGTACAACTATAGTCTTCTTATATATCTTATAGGATGGATATAAAAAATGAGGAGGTATAGAGACCGGCAGTTATTTACTGGTGGGCTTTGACACGTTGAGCGCATTGCCACTATCAAGAAACTGCTCTCATGTAAACAAAAACAAACCGTGAATGAATTTCAAACTCTTGAGTAATCCGCAAGCGTCGCCTGCGCTCTTATGACAACAAACAGTAAACATTAAAGTTGCGCTCATCAGTGGCAGCAGCAGCGGCCGGTAACCGCATCTAAACCTTCAACTGTTTATAAAGAACCTTAAACAACTATAACAATGTGTAAATCCTCTGTGTGAACAAATAGTACCTGCATGAAGCGAAACACAAGCTTGAAGTAGAAGAAAATAGACGGTCTTATACATTTATATTCAAATAAAAATATTCGTGCTCAGTGACCGCGACCGAATGGCCGAGAAGGAGATACTGTCCATCACTATGGCCGGTCGGAGTCGGCGTTGCAGCATACCAGAGTGCGATGGTCAGAACGTCAAAGTTTTGTATGAATTTCCTAAGGAAGCTTGCAGAAAAAGACGATGGTTGTCAGCTTGCGGCATGGATGACGCCAATGAGGCTAGCTCTTTGAAAATGTTCGCTTGTAATTCACATTTCGTTGATCATGACTACATTCCGGGTAATTTGAGAATATTTAACATTTTCTATCCTGCAACGCTCTTCGTTAAAGTTTTTTAACACGATTATTTATTGATTGACAATTCTTTTTTAACAGCCTCTCCGTCGATAGTGCCCATACTCAAAAGAACGGCTGTGCCAGTCATAAAGTTGTCTGGTAACGTTACAAAGTCGCCTACTTCAAAAATGATGGACAAAAATATTTCCAACACAAATGAAAATAGTTAGTACTTTTATGAGTTTGAAAATTTCAAAGTAACTTAAAAGCATACCAATTAATATACAATATTATCCATCTTTATTCTAATCTCAAATTCAAGTCTAACATCCTTACTTTTTTTTTATCAAACTTGATCAACAAAACATGCAAAGCAAATTTTTATTGTAATGATTTTTAAGTTTCATAGTTATTATTCAAATAAAAGTCCATTTAAAAATTTCTAAATTAAACTTTTGACATTGAAAAACTCAACACAGTTGTGAATAATGACAAAATAGATGGATGAAATATAATTAATTTATATTTGCTTTTGTTTATTATTAAATAAATATATTATTAAATTGTCTTGTGCAAATGCATTATAAATTACTTTTTAATTTTAGATTCTCATTCAAAAACAAGTGAACAGAGTGAATTAACATTAATTGCAAGGTATGATCATATGGATGTGTAATAAAATCAAATTTTCTTTCAAAAACGAATTGACTGAACTATTACGTTTTCAGTAACCAAGAAAAAATAAAAGTTGATTCATGTACACACATGCCAGATGATAATCAAAACATAGTTTTAAACAATTCAAAAAATTCTAAAACAGAGAATTATCCTGTTCAACATAAAAAAAAGATTCAAGATGTTAACTTGAAATGTTCAGAAAAGTTAGAAAATTCAAAAATCGAAAAAAAAATTTTCAGCGATTCTAAAAATACAGGGATAAATAAAAATGAAATTTTAAAATATATTTCTCCAAAATCGGAAGAAATTAACAGTGTGAATGCACTGCAAAGTATAGAAAATAATAAAATTGAAATTGACAGATTAAAAATTAAAACAACTATTGATGATAGAAATGAGTCAGTTGCAGTTAAAGAAAAAGTGCAAGCTAAAACTAAACCTACCGTAATAATTCAATCTCCTAATTCAAGATTTCGTAAAAACATTCCAGTTATTCCAAAAACTTTATGTGCAGGTTGTGGTAAATATTGTACAATTGTAGATGATGACATCGTAGGTGCTAAAAGACCTGATGAGACTTTGGCAGCTGAAACACTGTTAGAACTTCAAGAGGTTGATCCTTCAAATGAAGATGAGCAAGCAATACTCATAAAAAAGGGCATAGAAATCTGTGATAAAGTCATGCGTAAAGAGAGTATTAAACTTATAAATTTAATAACTAATGATAATGAACTAGTGGCCTTTACTGGAATAGACTTTAAACTTTTGGAAAAACTTACTAAAGCAATGACTATAATGGAAGGTGGCACCGGTAAAACATATTCAGAAACAGCAAAAGAGAGAATTGTGTTAACATTATGTAAAATTCGAATCAATTTGCCTTTTCGCTGTTTAGGACTGTTATTTGGATTTAATCACATTGTATCTGCAAGTTTATTTTATTCGACCATTCGAAATTTATCAAGCATTATGACACAAATTATATACTGGCCAAGAAGAGAAGAAATTTTGAAAAAATTGCCTGCTTGTTATCACAATTATAAGCAAACTAGATTAGTATTACATTGCACTGAAATGCAAGTTGTAAAACAAAGATGTACTAGTTGTCGTGAATTGTTAGTAGCTAATAATAAGGAATATGAGTCTATCAAATTAGTTTTGGGTATCGCACCATCTGGTTTGATAATTTTTAAAAGTAATACATATGATACTCAGGATGAAAACGAATCAATTTTTACTAAGATAAAAATTCTGACATATTTGGATCCAGCTCACGATGCAATTTTGGACGATAAAACACTTGATATAACTAATGAGTGCAGTAAATGGAATATATCTTTGGTAAAGTTACCAACTATGGAAAAAAATAATATGTACAATACCACAGATGTTGAACTTATCAAAAATATTGCCATTGGCAGATTACATGTTGATAGGACTTTACATCGATTTAAAACCTTCAAAATTACACAAAAGAAATTATCTTGGAGAGCTCTTCCATGCATCGATGAAATTTGCACAGTTATAGCAGCTATTATAAATCTCAAAAATCCATATTTTTCTGAAGAATCTTTTAAAAAATTTCCAGAATGGATTTAAAAATAAATTAAGTTTCTTATCTTTAATTCATTGCAATTACATTCAGCATTATGAACAAAGATAATGTATTTATAATTACATTGATTTATTTATGTAATTTTGTCAATGATATATGTCAGTATTCATTACTAGTGATATTTTATAACTCTTATAATAAGATGGAAAAGAAAAAGGAGTAGAATTTAATTGATTTTCATAGTTGTAGAAAGAAGATATAAATTGTAAGAAAAGCATGAAGCAAAAAAGTAAAAAAATATTTAGTGATTAATGCCAATTCATAATATTAGCCAAAGACGTACAAGTGATTTAAAATAGTTTATGCCACAAAACTGTGTAGTCTTGAATCATACGATAATAAGTTTTTAGGAGACATTTTTTTTAATAATCAAAATGAAAACATTTATAAGTAAATACAAATTTGTAAAAATTATTCATCAAAAAGTGTAATCAATACATTATTTAAAAACTGTGACAATATAATTGTTTTGTAACGCCAGCACACGAGTCTAAGTAAATATGGAAAATTGTAATTTATTTTTAAATCAAAAACTTTACTATATGATTATTTTATTGTTTATCTCTATCAAGGAAGGATTAATATTTACCTATTTACTTTGAACAATAAGCGAATAATTTTCGCCTTCATTACAAACGCACAAATAATCAATTGTTATCATCATGTAACGAAAGTTCAAATTTGACTTGTGATGGCTCCTGCGGCTTGATAATTAGTATTGTCAAAAACTACAGTCCACTGCAATATCAACGGAGTGTGGTTCTCAGCACGCGCGTTCTCTCTTATACATATAGCGTGTTTTCGCTGGCAGATTGTGTTTTCTGTAGAAAACACTCATAATTCCGGCTACATTAATATTATTTACAAGAAAGAGAAAGTGTAATTAAGTTAAAAAGGTGAAATTCATGAAAATATGATTCGGGTGATGTTTCGCGAAAGCTCAAGCAACTTTGTCCACTGTCACTAAAACTGGGTTAGCTGTTCTCAGCTGGGTGTTAGCCTCTGCGTGGTACTTTTATTAAATGCGAGAAAAGAAGCTCTGCTAATCATGACAGAGCGACATACAGCATCATCGGGTCGTGCAAATTATAACCAGTGTCTCAATCTAGGTCGCAGTCTAATGTCACGAGCAACTCTTTCACAGCCATGGCAAGTTTGAGAATTGTACAACCAATAAGTTAAAAAGGTATATAAATAAATACGGTAACTCGAACAAGTCGTCCGCGAGCCGCAGGTACAAAAGTGTGACAGTTCGAACAAGTTTATACGTACGTGCACGTGCATACGCGTGTTCGTACCTACAAATCATATATATAAAATCTTAGTGTAACGAAGAGTTCGTGAATTGGCTTTTTTGGTTTCTCAAGCAAGCATGTCATGAAGATGCACGTCTGTGTTCAATTTTGACAGGTTGCAAGGTGTGAAGCAAAATAAAAATTAATGAAAATTTTGGTGAGTTGAACTGTAGCCTAATTAGCTTTATCTTGAATGAGATTTTACAAAATAATTATCTTTTATGATTCGTGGGACGTTTGGTTTCAAATCGTCGCTCGAGCTCATTCTACATGACGTATAAAAAGACAGTAGGATATAGTTGTCCAAAGAATCACATTTTGTTATCTTAATATGTGGCTGTCGTGATCGGCATGTTGCGTGGCATAGGTCATTTGTACGTTGAAATAATATATTTTCTTTTTATAAAATTTATAAATAATTCTCGTCGGTGCACGTGAACAGGCGAATGATGGGAAAACCATTGAAGGAAAGAGCGAAAAAAGTATAAAAGATGTTTTCACAAATCGCATCGCGCACGACTGATTCGCCCTTGGGTTTCATTTACGCCCATCCGTTTTTTTGTCACTGCATGCGTTCCATCAGTTCACTCATATCGTCTTCTAAACTCATACGTCCATCCCTAATGAAGTAATATATCATTATCAAATTCACGATGTCTTAATTGTGAAAAAATAAGCCCAACTTCCTCTTTCTTCCCGACAGTTTGTAATATTTTTACTTGTTATTAAATGAATTCACGTATCATTGGAAAAAAAAGAAAAAAAGGAGACAACAGTAATATCATTTATTATTTTTAAGCAGTGACGAAGTATACTGGCGAAGCTCGCGTGCGTTCCGTTGATCGATAAATGACGGAGCGAGCCGTAACTCGCCCGAGCTAAGCTTTACTTATAACATTGTTTATGTACATACAATAGTCTCTGTGGATGTAGACGAGGTAGAGAGATCAGCGCGTCGGAAGAAGACCCTAAGATTCACCTTTTACTCGACAAGCCGTGTATTATACACACTTTTTTGTACCCCTATATCACATCGTGCGAGGGTAAGGGAGGCTATGAGCTCGCGGCTAATAAAGCTCGAAACAATTATGAGAATACACTCGTCGAGAGGATAGAAGATAAGCTGCAACACCAATTTTTCAGAGCAACCTGAGTATTTGCTTGCGCTGTTTCTACACACGTGCGATATCGAAAGTGATTCTTATAAAATAAAGCAACATCGATGCTCGATCTTTACAACGTCTCGTATATTCAACTTGAGATATCTTTCAAACTGTGTATCAATGAATGTACACAGCAGTTAATGTGTTCCACGTTTTCCCCAAAGTGTACTTATACTACAGTGTTTGCTGTTAGATCTAGCAATAGACGCTAGATCTTGACTTGAACTTACATAAGATCTTACATTCTATTTATTTAAAATCTTACGTATGATATTATTCACGGTGAAAGTTCTTAGATTAAAAACTTATGTAAAATCTCGCGTAAGATCTTGATCAAAGGGTTGACGAAAATAATATTATTTCTTCTAACAGGATTAATCCAGTTTCTTGAAGATGGCATTATTAGCAAGAAAAAAATGATAAATTTTTTTTCATTTTTTTCGTGTAGATCTTACATAATAATTCCCGTAAGTTCTTGCGCATGTTGTTCCATATTTAGGGTTTTTGAGTTGAACTAATTTCTTTCTGAAAAAAGTCACCGAAGTAATTACGTACTGTCGATAACCAAGATCTGACATAAGATTTTATGTAAGTTTTTCTCAAGAACTTGCATACAAACTTATTCAATATTTTCATTGGAGAGGTGGTTCCTATATAAACGAATGGTTCGAAATATTCGAACGGTTCGAAAAAAATGAAGTTATGTCTTTTTGGTTTTCCACCACAGAAAAAAACAAAGAAAGAAATGTCAATAATTTTCATTCAAAAGTACCTATCCAATTTAAATTTGAAAAGTAATTTAGAAAAGATTATTCATTTATTAATTTAATTATGATATTCCAATCAAAAAACAATATAGAACTGTTAAAAAGCGTAACTTAAATCATTAATTCGACTGACATTATTTGAATAAATTCAATGTTTAGGTGAATCTGTTAGATTCGTTGAAATCAATGTTGAATTAATAATAAAAGCCAAAGATCCACTCTTCGACAGTTCAAAACATTTCTTGAAGTTCATTATTACTATCGAAACTCGAAACCGGACTTGGTCAAGATTGATACCGTTAAGAGTGTAATTATTTGTACAATTATCTTTAAATATTGAATTACAGAAATTCGTCTTGTATAGTACTCAAAATTTAATCCCGTTCGTCAAAGTTGAAGAGATCAATCAAAAGAAAAACCGCAAGGAATCTCGTTTTTGACTCATTTCGCGAGTTGTATTCTGTATAGTGCATTGACTGCTGCATCTTCTGTCGTTAATGTCTGTTCTATGTCATAAGGATGAACGTCGGCCTTTACCATTTTCTATGTCGCTACCAAGCAGTCGTTACATTGGACTTCGCCCAAAAGTGACAAAAAATTTTAATATAGGTCCGAGAAATCTTCGCAAAAACAAGAAATATTGTTATATTTAGACATTTTTTATAGATATACTCGCGAGGAAATTTGCAAGTACATCGCTTATTATTTATGGGATAAAATCACAGAATTACGGCACCTCGTATTTTTCCGCTCGCGCGTTACATATCCGATGTAACATATATTTCAATATTTCAATATTTACTCCATTTTATGTCCACAAACCAAGGAAAATATTTCTTTTAAAATAATTAATTTGGTATTAACAAAGAGCTATAATATACACAGCACAAATAGTTTAGAGTTTTTAATAAAAACGATATTTAAGTTATTGAAAAATTGTTCGTGCTATTTATGTTGTTTGTGACTTATTAGAATTTCGTGCGAAATAATTATTCGTTAAAATTAGGGTTTCATTTTTCTCCTTATTGATACAGAAGGGAAACATTCATTTCTTGCTACGATTTTTGGTATTACGAAAATTGTATGAAAAATGATAGCTTCCACTGTTGAGTAAAAATGATAGGAAAAATTTACCAAAAGTATAATTGCGAAATAAACACTCGAAAATTTCTATACGTATACTATTCCTAAATATACAAATAATTATAAAATTTTTTTCATAAATAATTAAATGTTACTTATTTAAAATTTGTATCTACATTGTATCTAATGGGGCGTTGGTGAGCAGGGATATAATATATTTATACATGATTATTTCCAAACCTTTCGGGGAAGTTATTCTGAGTAAGGAATTTTGATTTTTTTCAAATCGGACATCAGATTCAAATTTACCACACCTTAAGATTCTCTTTTATAAAGTTTGAGTTCAATTAGCTTATACACTCGGCAACAAAATTATCGCAACAAAAAAATTCATCGAAATTTTGTCGATTTTCAAATGCTTCTATCTTGGGCTAGATTTATCGTATCGACACGCTTTTTTTTTAATTTCTTGGAAATTTTGTCCTCTTTAAATCCATATAAATTAAGATAAGATTTGAGTTAATGTTGAGTTACCAGTAGTATTTGAGCGTGACCCTAAAAATTACTGAAAAAAAAGGACTGTTTGAACGTGTACCAGTACCACAGTGATTTTTTTATCGAATTCTAACATACACCATCGCAAAGTGCTCTTTTTAACGAGTAATTTAAAAAAAAAAAGACCTCTCTACGATTTTTTTAACGCCCTGTAGGTCGATTTGGAGGCACGGTTTATGTACGCAAAATGCCCAGAAAATCGTCTTGATTTTAGGTAAACGGGAGATTTTACGTACTTTAAATGGTATCTTCAAATCGACCTACAGGGCGTTAAAAAAATCGTAGAGAGGTCTTTTTTTTTTAAATTACTCGTTAAAAAGAGCACTTTGCGATGGTGTATGTTAGAATTCGATAAAAAAATCACTGTGGTACTGGTACACGTTCAAACAGTCCTTTTTTTTCAGTAATTTTTAGGGTCACGCTCAAATACTACTGGTAACTCAACATTAACTCAAATCTTATCTTAATTTATATGGATTTAAAAAGGACAAAATTTCCAAGAAATTAAAAAAAAAAGCGTGTCGATACGATAAATCTAGCCCAAGATAGAA